CCCCCCCCCCCATCTTGGGAGGGGGGCCCAAGATAAAATCTTGCACCAGGGCCCTTTGGTTATTAGGTCCGCCACTGATCACAGGGGTCATCAGTGCGCAACGCATGGAGTACAGAGGTCATCAGTAGGTAATGCATGGAGTACAGGGGTCATCAGTAGGCAACGCATGGAGTACAGGGGTCATCAGTAGGCAACGCATGGAGTACAGGGGTCATCAGTAGGTAATGCAGGGAGTACAGGGGTCATCAGTAGGTAATGCATATAGTACAGGGGTCATTAGTCAACCTTAGTCTAGGGGTTCAAATATATTTTATTACCCATTAGAGCAAGATTAGCAGTTAACCCTTGCAGGGTTAATTTTTACATGGTCATGAGTTCTTCTTTAACTGAAGAAATTGAAATGAGGAGCTGATTGGTTACTATGAGCTCCAGATTCTTTCTGCTCCATTTTTGATCAATTCTCCCGTTGTAAATTAGCCCCAAGTCACTGGTGTCATTTGGATAGAATAATAGAGTGAGATGACATGACTAGAAAAAAATTGGTAAACTGTTAGTACTGAAAACTTCACATTGTCTGTAACAGGTTAAACACACGTCACTATGCCAGACTATAACCACATTTACTGCAGAATTTGATAAGAATATAAAAACTTCGCTTATATGCACGCTCTCTATGGTATGCAGACGCTCTGCTCCACTACATCTATGGTGTTGGAGGAGTGTGTGGGCGGGGTAAATTCTGATTGGCCGCTCGCTGCGCTGGAGAAGAGACGTCTGTGGCTGTGTATCTTGTCTCGTGTTAATAAACAACATGCTGCTGTCACTCAGGTAGATCGGTTGTGATGTGCAGAGCTCAGACAATGTTTAGTTTTGAGCTCCTCATCGTTCTGTTACAATATCGGTGCCATGTGCACGCTGGGCTGTTCTAGTACAGATAAGACTCGGGTGTGGTATAGAGGAGGGGAAGGACATGGAGGATGCGAACTTTTCTGCTTCAGCCTCAGGAATGTGACAGTGCAGGTGACAGCTGTCTGATGTCACTGTACTCATCTGGAGGCAATGCCATGATTTACTATAGGAGCAGAGAGTTCCCTACTCCACAAGGAGCCCTAGGTTCAATAACTGATCATCTGCAGGGGACATAGGAGTTCACATTGTGCTGGAGTGCATACATCAGTGATGTATACTGATAGAGGTAAAGTGAACCTGAGCTTTGCATAGACTGGCTATCAGGCACTAGGGATGTGTGTGTGGGCTTGGTGCAAACTGAGTTCACCTGAGACTGTGCAAAACTGTCAGTGACGCATCCCCCTCCCAACCTAATCAGCTGCGGCCAGGGCATTTCCTATTGTGAAGCTACATGTAACAAAGGGAAAGCGCCGGCCGCAGCTGATTGTGTGATCTCACACTAACAGGTCTATTCACTAAATGGTGAAGAGTTTGGAGAAGGCAGGAGAAGTGAATAATCTCGGACAAAATAGCTGATTTGGAAAAATTCTCCAATTCAGCTCACTTTCCAGTTCAGCTATGTTGTCCTAGCTTGTTCACTTCTCCTGCCTTCTCCAAACTCTTCACCCTTTTGTGAATAGACCCTTAAGACTGCGCATAGCTCTATCAGGCACCATGGAGTTTTTACTTGCTCCATGGCTGAAAGCTAATCTAAGGGCCCAGTCACACCATATGCGTTCCGCAGCATAGACAAGGCAATTTGCCTTATGTTCATGGATTCATCGGTCGTGCGTCTAGAGGGTGACTGATTCCTTACCGCATTTAATCGTATCACATATGACTACATGCGTTGTTCTGGTGTTTAAATGCAGCGGCTGTCACTAGGGCTGCAACAACTAATCGACATAATCGATTTTGAAAATAATCGTTAGCTGCAGCTCTAGCTGTCACCCAATCGTTAACTTGAATGGGTGACAGCTGCTGCTTGTAAACGGCAGATTAGCGATTCCTGCAGCAGGAAAACGCAAGTTCCTGCTCCAGGAATCCCTAATCGCACCTAAAGATATAGGTGTGAATGGTTCTTTACACAGCTCTTCCCCACAGTACAGCCCTGTTTAACAAAGGAGATGATCGTATCTTTCTCTGCTGCATTTTCACTTACAGGCCCCCTCACCCCCCATTTTTGTGACTGGGGGGTGGAAGCAGCACTCTGACTAGCTCTCTGACAGTCTGCTCTCTCCTTCTATCTTTATGCTCCTTGTATTGCAGCACGCCTGATTAGCTCATCGGGCTGCACTTGCCTCCTCCTCTGTGAGCTCTGCTGTACAGTAGCCTGCAAAAGACTAATATCAAGTCAGGTTCAGGTTACGTTTACTGCTTGCATTTAGAGATGTATTCATGATTACATAGCTGCATTTATGTGTATCTTTTATGTCTACCTGGAGCTCTTAGCAACCTGGGATGCTCTGGCCAGAAAAGGGGCAGCAAACACACTTGCCACCCCCAACCACATGACCCAATGAGAAGCCACTTTCTGTGTTGCCAACAACCAAAAGTCAGACTATGTCAGCTGCCAAACTGCCTTTATTGGATTTAGGCAATACAAAAAGTTCCTAAACATTTGTCAGTGACTATGTCTTGATGCCACCCTAAGCCGATGGCACTTTGATGGCCCAGGTTGTTACTGAAATAAAGTTTAATTCCCTTTGCCTCTTTTCTTTACAGATCTGGTATGACCTGTCGTATATCACGGCTTCTCAGCAGATCGTTGATGACAGCTAGTACAGTACACTCTAAGGGGAAACTGCCAGACATGAGTGAAGGTGAGACTGGCAAATGTTTTTCGCTGAATTAAAACCTGACTGTAGACCATCATGGGTCAGTCCTATCGGATACCAGTTGGCAACGCTTGTTTGTTTTCTGGAGCTGAGCAGGTTTGCCACGAGGCTTGGGACACTGAAAATAAAGATCAACAAGTGGTCTAAAGTTTTACATCCCTAGCATTTAAATTGTACCTGTATCTCAGGACAAATTAAAATATGACAAAACTTTGCAGTACTTTGCAAGTACAAAATAAATACTTGTTTATCTACCAGAAATGCACTCAGCTCCTAAGTCCTATTGTGGGCAGACAACACACAGCATTTTTGTGGACTGAGTGGTGTCAGCCCTGTCGAGTTTTCTTTTGCTAAAGTATTTAGACCCGCCCTAGCTCCTCAATATAAAGGCTAATCATTCTGTTTTTCCAAGACAAGAACTTGGAGAGCTCCCCAGCTGTCGCAAGCATCAACCATTGGATGAGTCTAATTTTTGCTCCTCCCCCACAGCTATTGTCATTTTAAAACATATGAGCCGGCAGGAGAAGTAGATGGGGGGGGGGGGGGAAAAAAATAAAAAAATTAGACTCGTGCAAAAATGGGGGTCCCTCTACACAACAAGAGTTAAATGTTTGTTTTGTCTAGGGCAGGGGTCAGCAACCTTAAACACTCAAAGAGCCATTTGGACCCATTTCCCACAGAAGAGAAAACACCTGGAGCCACAACACCCTTTTGACATCTAAAATGAAGATAACACGGCATATATCGTTTTTTTACCTTTATGCTATGTATAGCATGTATATAGATATATGTGGGCTTAGTAACGCACTGGACTCTGAACTTGCCTGAGACACCGCAGAGCCCACCTGCGAGTGACCTTGCAGAGCACACCATAGATCCTGCACAAACCATCTGAGACTCTCTATGGTGGGCTCTGCAGCGCCTCAGGTGGGCTGGTTGCCGGGGTCCCTTTCCCTGTACCTCTTCCCAACTCCTCTTACCTGCTGCTGCTGGGTCCTGGCCTCCTCCACCCCCTCCCCTGTCACCTCTGCCATGCCGCCCCTGGTATAGCTGATACTCATTTAAGAGGCCCCCCAGACCCCTCACATGGGTACCGGCCGTACCCCCCTGATGGCGGTGTTCTATCAAAGTTTGTGACTATGTTAAAATGTGTGACCGGTGACGTGGTCACACATTTCAATGTAATCCCGCCCTGTTTTTTTGGCGGTGGAATGTGTGACCGCCAAAAGGTGAAGCATTCCAACGCTTTCTCAGGAACAGGGAGCCGCAGCAGAGGGATGAAAGAGCCACATGCGGCTCCGGAGCCGCTGGTTGCTGACCCCTGGTCTAGGGGTAGGGAAATAAACACAATGTTTATTTTATTCCTTGGCAGCTGGTGCTCTTTCCCACTCTCCAACATTTCTGGGATTTGGGCTGGCCCTTACTGTCCTCATGAGCAATGCTGGTCCTGCATTGTGCGTGATGATGCTGGAGAGCTGCGGTCAGTTGGGCAGTGAAGAGGAGCGGCTTTAGGTGAATGGTCTTGCCATAAGAGGAGGTTTCCTTTTAAAGCAGGGTTGGGGAACCTCCGGCCCTCCAGCTGTAGGGAAACTACAAATCCCACGAGTCATTTCAAGATTCTCACAGGCATGACTCCCAGAGACATATACATCATGGGATTTGTAGTTTTACCAGAGCTGGAGGGCCGGAGGTTCCCCACTGCTGCTTTAAAGCAACCTTTGAAAAAGTTATTTAAGTAAACTTAGAAGTCCTGAACAAACATTGAGGGGAATTTATCACAACTAGAGCAAAGGGGCATTTGCTCATGACAACCAATCAGTTTCTACCTTTCATTTTCAAAGCCAAATTGAAGAGAGAAGCTGTTTGGTTACTGTGGGCAACTGCTTTAGATTCTGTGTGCTCCCGTTTTTGATCAATCCCCCCATTGTGTTATCTTCCAAAGTGGCCATGGAGTCATATAACTGGGAACAGGCAGTATACTGTACACTGGCAACCTCTAGTTAAGTGTAAGCTCTTCCTAACCGCCCCTGTGCCTCTGAACAGTAAAGAGGGTGACGTGGTGGCTGGCTAAGTGGGTGCAGCCCCGAATTCCAAGCTGTCGGTTGGGTTAAAAGCCTCAGGGAGAGCTCTGGAAAATAAAATGTAGTACATGCAGACACTTCGAGCTTTCTACTTTTATGTTCCTTTACTATTTGGATTCCTTTATCCAGGTGTGTACATTAATAAAGATGGTGTATTGCAGCCATCGTAAAGTGTCATGATAGCTAAAATGAGGAGCTGCACCGTTCAATACAGGTGAATCTTGACTGCAGTTTCTAGGTCCCGAAAACCAGAAATCTCAAATGATAGGGGACCTCACCATATTCATCCTATTGGATCTCATGAGGCAGATGGCATCATCTGAAGTAGTAGTTGCATTCTAAGTTTGCATGTGTAAAGTGTGCAGCATCGGTTCCTAGCAGCATGAGACGACTCAACCTTTCCACTGTACTGGGAGGTTGGAGGACCACCCTCAACTTTTCATGAGACCACCGATTCACAGCTGTGTGCTTGTAGGAATTCACATGTTATGTTACCTCAATTGTACCTTGCTTGTGTAAATTTTTATGTTTTCCCTTGTAGGATGCATACCTGTCCATGTGAATAATGGTGTGTGGTAACCTAAAGCATTTTTATAGACTCGCTTTGCTTTAAGCCTCTTACATCCTCTGTGTATTTTGCTCTGGCTCGTGGACGCACTGAACATTTGTCAAGCACATTGTGAATAAATTAAAAAGGATTTTAAATAAACATATTGAATTATGGTTGACTGTGCACACTCTGCTTAATTTACACAATAAATGTAATATTTAAACAAACAAAAAACAAACTGGAAAAAAACCCTCGCCTTGGTTTATTAGAAACATTTAATCATAACACAAATTACCTTAATATTATTAAATGCTATGGGCCAGATTTATAAATCTTCCACCCAGGGTATAGCTGGGCACATGCCACTCACACTGCGTTACCGCTACTAGATGGAGCCAAGAAACATATTAAGTTCTTATGCTCCACAGCAACATCTAGTAGCGATAGTGTCATGCGAACAGCATTCACCGCACTATACACCGGGCAGAAGATTTATCATTTAGCCCCCAATGTATTGGTAATAAAGTTACCTTGCCATGTATATGGTGTTGTTCTCAGGGTATTTCCAGGACTGAATTAAGATACTTTCCTGTTCAGACTTTGAAAAGCAAAAAACAGAACATCTTGTCCTTCAAGAACTCCATGTGTCTAAGCATTAGGTTATTGTGCCTCTATTACCGATCACACAGTCAGAATCAGAAATTTCAATGCGGATGTCCATTCTGCAATGTTGAGATGGATTTCTTTGCATGCACAGCCAGATCTGGTAAACCAGTTAGTTGTGTTTTATAAATTAACAATTTGATTGGCCAGTGTGCGGCCAGCTTAAAATACTGTACTTAAAAGAGAACTATGGGGTAACCTTTTTTTTCCCCATAGCTCTCCTCAGGGTCACGGGAGGACATATGCTAACGTACTCCCGTGACACAAAACTTATTATGTAGCTGGCTATTGCCCAGTATATGCTGAGAGCGCCACAGCCGGGATGAAACCTGACAATACTGTCTAGATCCACTCCGCTGGCTGACTGACTGACAGCGGGCTTTGCCTATCTAGAGGCAGAGCCAGCTATGCCCGCCCCCTTTCCCATCCATCCCTCCAGTCAGCGCTGGAGGATCGAAGAGGGGAGGGGGGAATCCCTGCTGGGAGCCGTGATTATCAGTCACCGCTCTCTGCAGGGAGATGAGCGGCGGTATGTGTTCGCTCACTTGCTGATCAATAGAGCCAACATGTGACAGTTTTAATGTCACACGTCGGTTTGAACTATGAGGATGAGTGTAATTCACTCTCCCCATAGTTCTCCTTTTTAATGTTAGTTTGCTCTCCAGGATTGTATTAGCTGTGGTTCAGTTTGCAGTCTGCAAACCAACAAGTAAATGATTATGTCTTACACTGGCCATTTGAAAATAACTGTTTTCAGAATGTTTAATCTTCTAATAATGAATGGGGTCAAATCATCGATTGATTTTTGAACAAAACTCTAACAGTAAATGTGGTTTCAATTCAGGGAACGCCATTCATTCCAAAATCAAATGTTAAAATCAAACCATTTCGAACAACATTTATCATTATTGAATGTTCTGCCAAGATTTTTCATATGACATTCTACCAGTGTATGGTCAGCTTTAGCTCAGTTATAATGTATAGAATTTTAATGAGTTTACCCCCATTTGGTTACAAAATATTAATTTCAGTAACATCTTTGGATATCTCTGCACTGAATAATGAAGCTTTTTGGAAATAAATCCAGCCAGCAAAATGCACTGTTGCATGCACCATCAAGCCACTCACACATGCATGAAAACATTTCTGCCTTATCTTTGTTTTGATGGCTTTTACTGTGCTTGGTGGTAATGTAGCTACTTGTGTATCATTTTATAGACAAAAGCAAGAATACCTGCATTTCCTGTAAGATCTGTTCCCCCGTTGAACAAGCTATGTAGTTAGTATACGAACAGACCAGCTATGTACGGTAGTTAGTTCATAGAGGATGATTATGGATAGAGACATTTGAAGTGTATGAAAAGATCTTTGATAACATAGAGAGCAAGGTACAAATGCAAGATGGTGGTTTTAAAAATGTATAAACAACTATATCAGTGCTTTGAACGCTTCACCTATTAAAAAAAAATCATAGGTGGCAGGATGATTGCCATAATATAGGGGTAGCCAAATTTTGGTCCTCCAGCTGTGATGAAACCACAAAACCCATTAGCCATTGCAAGACTCTGGCAGCCACATGCATGACTTCCAGAGGCAGATGCGTGACAGGATTTGTGGTTTTACGACAGCTGGAGGGCCGAAGTTTGGCTACCCCTGCCATAAGTCATTCTCAAAGGGAAACAAGGGTGTAAAATAAAACGATTCCTTGTTTCCTTATATTTTGTTATGCCTGTCCTATACTGAGCGGTGCTCGGGCTGTTTTGACAACAGTAGCACTTGATGCACTGGTATTTGCACATATGGATTGCTTTAGCCTCTGCCTATTCCACCAATATGGTGACTGAATGTTCCAGTTAGTATGAGTTTGCTTGATCTTCCACTAATACCTGTACAAGGTATCAAGGTTATAACAATCTGTAGGGAGATCTGCAAGCAGTAGGGCGATAGAGGCGCAGGCCAGGGGGTTGCACAGGTCAGTACAAACTTAGACTGTAAACAGCAGATCACAGACCATGTGGTGAATGTGATTTACGCAGTACATACCCTCCCTTTCCCTGATCCCAGTTTCAGAAGTGGTCAATCTTAAGAGACCAGTGTTGGCTTTTTTTAAATGCAATATGCATTCTTTAAATTAAGTTTTGTTAGTTATTTTCATTGAAAGGTTTCTTTTTTTACTTGATCTTAATAAGTTAGAATTGGCCCTATGGTGGCAGTTTTCAAGGGCTGCATCTCTTCCTTTTCTCATTGTCCTGTCTATCTCTATCTTGGTTTTTTTCTCTGTATAGTAACAGTGACTGTTGGCTTCTCTTTCAGTGCGTGATAAACTTAGGGAAATAGTTGGAGTCTCTACAAACTGGCGGTAAGGTGCTTTCCCCTAGTATGTCGACATATCAGGTGCAAGTTTTGCCAACCTTTAAAAATATTTTATAAATTGTCCTGTATTGTAACAGAGATCATGTGCAAGCCATGGAGGAAAGAAAGGCTCTACAGTCTTTACTGGCCAAGAGTCAAGAGGACCTCCCAGCACGCAAAATGAAGGACAGCTACATTGAGGTCATGTTGCCGCTTGGTAGCCAGCCAGAACTACGGGAAAAATACTTGAATGTTTACAACAATGTCCGGTAACAACAACCTAATGAAGTAGAATAGCAAAGGATCAGACCAGGAGAAGCTTCTTTTAGCAGGTTTAGGTGTACGTTTAATAAACTGTGAAAGAGTGTGATAAGCAGTGAGAAGGCTTTTCTCACCTTAGCAAAGTGAAAAGTCTAGAAAATGGTGTTTAATAACCCGTGATAAGTCAGGTAGGAACTGAAATATCTCACCTCTTCTCATCCTGGTGATAAGTACACAGAAAGTAATGGGAACGTACCTGTTTAATAAAGGGAGAAAAGTAGAGAACAGCTTTATCACTGGATAAGTATTGTGAAAAGTGACCTTGATTTAGCACCCTGTCAGACCTTGTGATAAAGGCCTTTTTCTCGAGAAGCACTGAGCAAAGATACAGGAACTTGTCATAAACCTAGTTCCTTAAGGAACCTTCAGGAACAGTTAAAATGAAGCACAGATGCTTCTCTTCTGGATTTCTGACATTTTGGGACATTTATGCCAATAGCAATGGTTGGCTGCCCAGCCATTGCTACTGGCTACTGCTGATTGAAGCCCGTGACACACTGCAGGCGATTATATATATCTAGATATATCTATCTATCTATAGATATATCTAGATATATATATATCTATCTAGATATATATGTATATCTAGATAGATATATATATATCTAGATATATCTATAGATAGATAGATATATCTAGATATATATAATATATGTTTTAGAGGCAGATACATTGCACTCCACACATAACAGTCTGTAACACCATTTTTCAGTGACGCCAAACATTCTAATTTCCAGCATGTGTCAGAGTGCCCACTTACATTGCTTGGCTCATCAGAGTGCCCATTTAGAATGTTTAACCCCATCACTGCCTCACATTGTGGCCGCCTCTGGTAGTTTGATTCATGTTTTTGAACAAATCGGAACATGTAAATCCTGCTTTTTAGCCATTTTCATCATTTTAACAGAGAAATAACTGTTGCACTTTGCTATAGAGGTGCTTTTTAATATTGTTATTGGGTGGTTTGGCAGAGTAAACTATGATCTTGTCAGGAGGATTGTAGATTATCACAAAGGATGTCATTGTGCAGCTCTGAATACATTCCCCACATTGCTTTCTCTACTGATCACCGTGACGACTTATCTCAGCCTTTTACAGCTGTTTTGTGTGATAAGTTTTCTTTTCGCAGGTTATTAAACAGCCTCTGTGCAGCCAAGAAAAACAAAGAGATCTGCTGAGTAAAGTTGACTCGTGATAAAGCTAGTTTTATCACGGTTTATTAAACGTACACCTTAATGATAACAGCTGCAGCTGGGAACAAGCAACAAGTAGTTTAACCTCTTGCCGTCCGCCCGTAGTAAAAAAACGGACGGACGGCACTGCAGCATCTGCGACTGAGACTTGCAGGCCCCTTGTTATAAGAAATGTTACAGTACAACCATATAGGCTACAATATCATTGGCTCCCAAGTCCTACATCACTGCAACTAGCCATAAATCTGACATTCCTGCAGACAGTATGTCTCCTAATTCTTTCTACACTCCTCTATATTAATTCTGTCAGCCCAGCACATGGACTCACACATGCTCACATGCCGAGGGTGTCTTGTATACTCTTAGGGTTCATCTTAAGTTCATCTGTATACGTCTGTATAGTACTGCTCAACTTCCAGGACTAAATCAGTTTAGCTATTACAAAATATTAATAATGTAAAATGCTCATTAATATCAACAATATGAAGTGTATGAGTTAATATCAAAATGTCACTACACTCTACAGCCCATCAGTGCTTTTAGGATGTCCTAGATATTTTGTGTTTATTGTTTAAATGGAATATTGGTTATTTTTGTATGGTTGAATTTTGTTTTATGTAATTATTGCATTTTTGTTGTTGTAGGTTTGGTAGAATCCTTGAAGATCTTGACAGCTTGGGAGGTACAATATTTCACTGCATCAACATAGAACTAGAGTGCATAGCATTTGTGTTTGATAGAAGGAATTCAGATCTAAAAATACAGTGTGAAGTTGTTTCACAGATGAAATAATGTGCAGGTTTAAGGAATGCCTGCCAATATAAACACCTAACCAACAGCAGAATACCTGTGGTGTAATGGGCATCTTTCCTGATGAGTGTAGCTTCATCGCTGGCCATAACACTGCTGAACTTCACTTGCTAGTGAGAGCAGTGGTGGCATTGAGGGTGTGACACCATAGAAAAAGATAAATACTCTGGTAGCTATCTTGACCCTGGCGCCTTGTCACCAGCCACATAAGTGTTACTGTGACATGGCTTAAACACAGCTAAAGGTATCTAACTCTAAAATCTGGCTTCACCCTCACTTTGGTTTCCTGTCGACATTGGGGATCAGGACAATTGGAGAGAATGAATTTTCCTAACGGGGACAAAGACAGCCATTATCACAGTGGTTCTATCCTCTCACCACTTTAAATAAATACATATAATATATATTTCAAAAAAGATTCAGATTCTGGAAGTATTGGTCTGTACATTCTTCCTTCTGCTGTAAACGTATTCTCAGAAAAGGGATTTTTTTCTAGTTGTAGTATTAGGGCATTTTATACAGCTCTATGTTGAAGTATATGGAAGTTATTGCAGTATATACTGATTTTTGTTTCCTCTCTACTAGTTCTCATTTGCTACACCCATACCAAGTCTGAATCACGTCACACATCTCCTCTTTCAATTGTCACTGCCTTGGTGGACAAGATTGGTGAGTGATATCGCATACCAGGAATCCTTTTTAGAGCTGCTCATGCCATTAATTAATGACCTAGAATACACACTTGAAACTTGCATATAGTTTGCACTCAGATTTTTTAGCTTCCTTAACTCTCATTCACACTTGAGTGTTCAGACAATTCGTACACGTTTTACCACTGATTATTTGTTTTTTTCTAGGCTTTAACATTTTTGTTTTAGCCAATGGAAAGCGGAGACAGGTACTGGGCACACAAATGCACGTTACAGGCACTCTTTTTAAAACCTAAGAGGCCGAAAACACGTGATTCTGTCTGAAAAAAGCTCACATACTTTTTGGAGCGACAAGGCACACAACACTCAGGTGTGAGCAGGCACCATTAAAAATAATGGGATTCTTCATGTTGTGCATTGTCGGTCTTTGGGAAATGCTCAACAAAATACTCAGGTGTGAATGGGGGCTTAAAGATCTCTGGGATGAAAAAATCCAGACTTGGTACCAGGTTTGTTTTCTGCTGTGACCGTATATTGATCCATTCATAGAACATCTTTCAAAGTCATAGCATCATTCAGTAATATCCATTGATAATGTTTCTGTGAATAGTGATTTTATTTAATTACTATGGCTATTTGTATTGCGATGACAATTTACACAGCACTTTGCATACTGTACATTATCATCAGTTCCTGCCATTAAAGAGCTTACAATCTAAGATCTCTATCTAACATGGATACATACGGGGCCAATTTATAAAGGAGCCATTTAACCTACCAACGTGTATTTGGAGTGTTGGAGAAAACCGGAGTACCTGGAGGAAATCCACGTAGGTACAGGGAGAACATGCAAACGTCATGCAGATGGTGTCCTGACCGGGATGTGAACCGGGACCCCAGTGATGTAAATCCTCCTCTGTGGCATATTTTAGAGGAACAGTTCCTATACCATAACATACTTATGACCCAGCTGACATTTGGCAAAAATTAAATGCCTTGCTTTACTGAATTGCATTGTGTTTATCATTACATATTTCAGATCTACGTAAGCAGATCATTTCTCCTGACTGTGACATTAAGCTGACTGGCCATGTGTCATGGGTTGGGAAAACTTCCATGGAAGTCAAAATGCATATGTTACAGGTGAGTATTGTATAATACCTCTATCTGATATTCTAGGTAGCTCATAAAATAGTCATCTGTTTTTTTTTATTATTATTATTTAAATGTGATTTACTGGGAACGTTTTTGTGTCTAAAAGAAATAACAATACTTATTAAAAAAAAAAGCTTACACAACAATCCTCTTGTATAGTTAAGTCGCTGATATTATTATATATCTTTATTCACTAATGAGCCAAAGGATCCAGCCGTAGCTTCAGCTGATCCTTCGGCTCACTTTGGCCGTCTGAGCCCTTCGGTTCAGTCGAACCGAAGGGCTGCTGTACGGGCTATTCACTATAGCCGTACAGCGGCCGAGCCGAATGCATATGCTTCGTCTCAGCTGAGCCGTAGTGACAGGCGAAGCGTGAAGAAAGGTCGGCCGAAGCCGACTGATCTCCACGCAAATGACAGCTGGGCAGAGCCAGCCATGATCTCACGACTCGCTCCGCCCAGTTGTAATGACAGATCAGTGTCCCCAAATGACCTGGGGACGCTGATGTGTCATTAAACAACAACTGGGCGAAGCCGGCCAAGACGTCAGGGCCGGCTCCACCAAGTTGTTATTTATTGTCCACGACCTGCTAGAAGACTCTGACAGGTGCCGGCCAATAGGAAACAGTTGAGCGGAGCTAGCGGTGATGTCAATTGTTCTTCATTATGCAGCGTTACTTCATCGCATGCGGTCGGGTCGGCGTGCGTAGTTTTTTTTTTTTTTTTTTTTTTAATTTTTTTTTTTTTTTTTCCTTTCACAGAGTTTTTTTTTTTTTTTTAAATGCAGT